TTATTGCCTATGACATGTACATAAGATGGTGATGGTGGCTTAGCTAAGCACTTACTATATTTCAGATAGTATGCTAAGCACTCTGTAGGCAATCCATGACATTTGTCCTTGAAATCTACATTCCCCATCAAACAGTGAACTCATGGAAGGGAGACACTGCGGTATATTCACTTTTATCTCCCCCATAACCAGCAGTCCCCTCCATGTAAGAAACGCTTACAATATGAATGAAAAAAATAGTGTGGCACTCACAGTTCTAAAGATTTCTGTTTCCTGTTTCTTCACTCAAACGCTATCCCGTGCACTGCTGCTCTTCAGACCTCACATATGTAAAGTCCCAAGTCAGGTGACTTTAAGACACAGATTTTTCCAGGTGGGCCTGGAACAATCATGTGACCCTTTTAAAAGTAGTTAAGCAGAAACCAGAGAGATTCCAAAAATAGAGAGATTTAACGTGCCAACACAAATAAGAAAATGGTGGTACTGGCCCTACAACTACAAGGAGATGAATTCAAACAACCGAGGAGCCTGGCGGGCAACTGAAGTCCCACACTTCAGCCCCATCTTGGTTTCAACCTAGTGAGGCCCTGAGCAGAGAACCTAGCTGCTCTAACTCAGACTTCTCACCTCTGCACCTGTGAGATAGGAAATGTGTGCTGCTATAAGGTGCTGAGCTTGTGCTAAATGATCAGGGAGCAAGAGACAATGAGAGGTTTTCAATGCTATGGAGACGTTGCTGGCCAGGCTGTGGACCAAGGGTTCCGCTGCATTTTAAAGAAATCAGCGTCAGCTCAGATGTAATTCCATGGAGAAATCATGGCTCAAAGAATTCCATATCTACCCACAAAGTGAATCAGAATTTCACAAAAGAACTAATGTTCTACAGGGGCTCAAGCGCTGGACAAGGAACAGGGAATCTCCATGGTGTGCTACTGCCTCGCTGTGTGACTCTGCCAACAGCTCAGATCTCTGAACCACTGTCCTTTCATCTGTAAGATGGGGATAAAAGCTGTTTTGGAAAGGTCTTACATATTTGAAGAGCTGAACTTGGGATGTTACCATTTTAAGTGAGCAGTGGGAAACAAATCAAATTTATAAAAGAATGTATGAGATAAAAATTGAAGACAGATTCAAGACGTCCATGAATAATCTATTCATACCTCTTTCATCCATTTCTCAGGGCCATGAATGAGGTGAAAATAAGATAACAGGTCCAATGAGCACAATTGAGTTGTGGCCAATTCGGGAGGAAAGCCTGAGATTCCTCAATCACCCGTGCCTAGAGAGTTTTAGGAAGTAAGCTGCCAAGTTCTGAGACTAATCAAATTCAGGTGACTAGGCAGACCTCCAAGGGCTCCAGATCACAGCTATTCCTCCCTACTAAAAAGAAGGCTGCTTTCCCCCATGGTGCTCTGCGAAAGTAACGTTCATCATAAAAATACTGCTTCCACTTTCAAAAGCACTCTTCAAAGTGCCTTCCCTATATCAGTTTATTCCCAAACGTTTATATCCGTTTAAAGGCAAAGGATGAACTAAAAGTCTTTCTAGTCCTGAAAGTCTTAGTTTCTCACCATGAGAGAATTCCCATTCAATGTAGGAGCATCATCCATTGTACAGAGCAGGAAGATTGAGGCCCACAGAGGCATGTGACTTCCCAAGGTGACGGGGCTGCTAAGTGAGAGATGAAAGGCTCTCCTTGCCAGTCTTGGCCTCTGATAACTCCAGCTCCCTGCCTTTAATAGGAGCTGGGTCAATGTGTTCTTCTCAGATACAGGCCAGTATCTGCCTGTACCAGGATTGAGCTGAAGGTGGAGAGGAATGGCTCATGCTCTCACTCCCATCTTAGGAATTGACACAAATGAAGATCCATAATTATGATGCATTTGGAAAAGCCTTATCCCCTATGCTGCCAGCTACTCCACAGGTGATACTTGCTGGCTGATTAGAAGCAGAATCTTTCTCTGGTATCTTCATTAAGGAAGTTGGGATGTGGGGAATACCATGTGGAAAGCTGTTCACAAAGATGCTTGTAATACTCAGCAGGCAAATATTAATTAAAAGAGAGCAAGGGAGAAGGAACCGTAGGTCTTTAAGCCTTAAGATGCTGTTGAGCTTCACCACATGATCTTGAAGCTGTGAAGACCTAGCTGGGTCTCTCAGTTCAATAACCGTGGAAAAGGACACAGCCATCCTGAACACTTAGCTTGGTGTCATCACCCCAAACACCCCAGAGCATGAGCGGTGGAGTCTCCCGACCCTAACATTCTTCTCACACTCTCTAACCTGATATAAACAGAGATGCCAAGTAACAAGAGAGGCTACATGTATGTATCTGTTCTCACTGACAGCTCACTCTGTGCTAGACACTAAAGATATAACACTGCACAGAGCTGAACGATTCCTTTTCTTCCCATGGAACTTCTGGTCTAAGGGCACACAGATACAATCAAAGATGTCAGACTTCAACTGCCATGAGAGCTGCACGGGGCCAGTCTTACATTTGAATGCTAAAAATGTGATGGTTAGGATGAGGTCTGAAGCATGCAAGATATGCTCAAAGTGGGAGTATGAATATGAGGGAGTTTTGAATATGAGGGACCAAAGAAAGACCAGCATGACAAAAGTACAGAAATTTGTCACTAGGCAACAAAGGAGAGCAACTCAGTGGGCAGCAAGCAAAGGCCTTGATGTTCCTAAAAAGTTTGAACTTTATTCCAAATATTAAGAACAAGGTTTTCTGGGCCGGGGATTTAGCTCAGTGGTTCGGTCGCTTGCCTCATAAGCACAAGGTCCCAGGTTTGAACCTTGGTACAAAAAACAAACAACAAGAATAAGACTTTCTCCTGTGTTTTAATCAGGGGATTGACATAATATAATTCATATTTTTCAAAAGGTCACTCACATTGCCTATAAAGAACTGACTAGGAAGTTGAATAAAACCACAGGGGGGGAATGGAGGCATGAGGTCTAGTTCAGATGTTTCTGTGATCATGCAGAGTGAGGAAAGGTGTCAACAGTCCTATCTGTCACCTCCCAAAGTGAAAAAAAAGCACTGGATTGGTTTTTCAAAGATTAGTGTGGGTCCAACTGTGTACTAGTCCTGAGGTGTTGGGGGAGTAGTTTTGTCTTTTATAGCTGTTTTGCTGTACCACTCCAGAGACACCACAAATCCTGGCCCATCTTCTTATAATTCCAACTCACAGGCTCTCCAAGATGGGAGGAGTAGGAGAGGACGCACAGGGAGTGGCTGGTCCTTGGCCCAGATGTCACCTGACCTTTCCTCTGACTCATAGGATTTTGTCCCCAGTCTTTGGTACCCCCGGGACGGAGAATAGCTACCGACTACAACACGTCTGTAAATGTTTCACAACTCAGACAACTTAAGAAACGGGAAAGGTGTCCCTCATCCTCGGATATATCTCAACGTAGCACCACTCTAGCCATCAGAAATGTCTTCCTCCTATTTAAAGTTTGTTCTCTGAGAACCTCTGCCAGATGCTCCTAAGTCAATTCATATGATCAAGTCTCAGGCCAGCCCTTCAGGAGGCAAGGTCTCCCCTGTTCTCTTCTGGTTACACGTGCCCTCTTCCGGCTCCTGGACATGACTCGGCTTTACTCCAATCCGCTGGGCTCATTCCTTCTGATACTTCCCATCTCTGTTGTCCTCTTAATGTGAAGCATCTCATAACATTGTTTCCCACAGAGCAAGCATAGAAAATACTTGTTGGGTTTCTTGGAATGAACGCCATATGCCTGGAGTGAAAAGTAAACTCCAGAAGACTCGAACCAAGTAATATGTAGAAGGGTGTGAGAATAACATGGGTGGGTGGGGTCAAGGAGGGTGTGGAAAGTGTGCGGAAAACAGAATGAGCCTGCAGATCTGGGTCCCACTCCCAAGGGCATGTGTGATTTTGAGACTCTTGAGTTCCTTTCTCTGTAAAACTCAGGCGGGCTTGCTGACCTCTCAGATTAACATTAGGTTTTAGTTAATCTCTGTTACCTATTAAAAGCTCTGAGCTTGAGGCACATGCTAGAAAGGGCATAATGGTATAGTCACTCTGGGGTGAAGCTGCCTTTATAAACTGACCAGATGGGAAAAGAAACAGAACACAAACAATTTTTTCACTCTGTGATTCAGGATGAAACGAAGTCATGTCTATACACCACACAAAATCACCCCATGTAACAACCAGATCATCTGTAACGTCATTCAGAAGCTCTGGACTTGGAAATCACCTAGCCAAATGAGAGGCATCACACTCGTCTATGCCCCCTCTTCAGGGTTTTGGGCATGGGTGAGAAGAATCTTTGAAGAATAAACCTCTTACCTCATCTATGATTCTTGTATTTCCCTTTTTGATCTTTTCATTTGAAGAAAAATCTTTTTTGTGGCAGAGTGCGGGGCCAAGGAGATGGTACAGCCAGTGGTGCCACTCCCCTCAGTGGCTGGAGTGTGGATATCCTCGTTCGGTTTCCAATACAGTCTTCCTTCCCTTCTTTCTAGGCCATGACGTTAGTGACCTTTGACTCCAGGAGTGCAATAATAAGACAGTCAGACCAATATTTCTGAACCAATCAAACGCGTTTATCATGCATACAAATTCATTTGAATTCATATATATATATATATGCAGATACTTGGTGTACGTAACTAACATGTGGAATGATGCTTATACATGTTTATGATTTCTGTAGACAGTTGTTGACACATACGTGCTTTTGTTGAGGTGTGCCTGGATGTGTGTATATGAGTGTGTAAAGTGAGTGTGAACGTGGGCCTGTGCACTCTCTCACTACTGAAAGGCAGCAACCCCATAGAGCTCCTTATGTGTGGTAAGGAATGAAACATGGAATTTCTCTGACATTTGAATTTTCACATCTTGCTGACAGAAAGGAAGTGTGCGATAGGTTCTGACAGCTCAACCTGCCTCTCGGCCCCTTTCCACGGCCTTCTGCAATTGGTGCGCACGCATCTGATGCCTCTTCCCTTTGGCCCGCAGGTCCCTGTCCGGACGCATCGTCGGCGGCGTTTGGTGGTTCTTCACCTTGATCATCATCTCCTCCTACACCGCCAATCTGGCTGCCTTCCTGACTGTGGAGAGAATGGTGTCTCCCATCGAGAGTGCAGAGGACCTAGCAAAGCAGACAGAAATTGCCTACGGGACCCTAGAAGCAGGATCTACGAAGGAGTTCTTCAGGGTAAGGCCCTCCCTCATCCTGAGGCGCTTTCACGAGAGAACCACCACTGCCACTAAAACTTCCTTCTCATAAAAGAGCACGAGCTTATAGACAGGCAGGGAAACTGCAGAACCTCCCCTTTCAAGGAAGCCCAGACACCAATCAGACAAGAACACCATGACTCTCTATTTCATCAGTATGGGTCTGCTCCCTCCTTTCCTTAACATTTAACCGTGTTCAACTGTTTTCAATCTTTCCATCTTTGAAAAGCTCATGAGAGGATTTTGCCCCTGAGATCCACACCCGGTGTTGCCCCTCAGAAACCCTCTGCTCCAGGATGGACTAGAATCCCAGGCTAACAGTGACTTCGTGCTCTGGCAGAGAGCCCTGAAGCTGCTTTGAAGCCCCTGCATTGTTTCAGACCCCTTCCCCATACTAATCTGTGCTAACTCCCTGGGGCTGCAAAGGCTATCAAAGACAGCTCCCTCTCCCTCCCCCAGGGACTCCTCATTCTAGTCAGCAGCCAACTAGGATGTTTATGGGTAAGGCTGGGGCCTTGCTCTTTGAGTTCCCTTCAACAACAGCAGGAGGTCAGGGAATGTTTGTTAACCTGATGAAGAAGAAGATGATATGTTGGAAAAAAGAACTGGATCAGTGCCAGGAGAGAGAGAAAAGGTGAAGGAGAGGGGAGGCGATGAATCGCTTCCAGCGGGAGCTACAAACAGAAGGGGACCAGGAGAGCACACAGGGGTACAGGCTCAGCTCGGCCAGGGCTAAACCTGGCTCCAGACGTCACATGTTCTGCACACTTAGCCTTTTGATGCCATCCCCATTCACCTTTAAAATGAGCAGAATAACATCAGTCTCCAAGCGTCTGCCTGAGATAAAGCAACTAAAATACAGGGAAAGCAGAGAGCACAAATGGCAGCTCCATTACCATTAGGGCTGCAAGGCTGACCTGAAACCATTTCTAGATATCATAAAACTAGGTCAGACCCGAGTAGGACAAGTAAACTCTCGGCAAAGGGAGCAATGTGGACATACATATCCTTAAGTGAAAAACCTGGGCAGTAGACATGGTCATTCTAGGAGCTGGACTACAGCACATGCTGCTAAGATATACTGACCGGTACCCACTATGCACTAGGTCCTGCGGAGGCACGGTTTTCCTCATTTGACCCACAGTAGAGGTGAGTCAAGGATTGCTCTCCTCATTTTGTACATGAAGCTCAGAGAGGTAAAGGCAGTTGCCTGGGGTCACACAGCCGGTAAGTGGCAAGAAGAACTGGCAGAACAAGTTCCCATAATGCCTCAGCCAGCAGGGTGGGTGCCTCTAGCAGACTCGCGTGGGTCTTCTCCGTAAGGTCACAGGGCAGACCCCAGGCCGCAAGTAACCCACTGCGGGACACGCTCCTACAGTGCCTCGGTCATGGGCTTTCATTCTGTGTGACAGGCTGGAAAGGGACCGGCGTCTGAGCCCTCACTGAGCCCAGGGTCCATGGCTACAATCATCTGTATTCAATATACCAGAGCCAAAAGGTGCCTGCATCGCCACCTGGTCCGAACGTGTCATTTCCAAGAGAGGCCTGACCTGCTTCAGCTCAACCCTGCTAATTAGTGGGGAAATCTCATCACAGCTCTGTGATGTGGTTAGCCTGCGACCAAAGGGTGAAGAATACCCAATAACTGTCAATAAAACCAGTCCTGTTCCCCAACCCCAGATGCATTCAGGGAACAACCCAGTTCACTCCACAATATGGCCAGCTCTAAAACTCACACGGCCTGAGTCCAGCCCTGAAATGCTTTCAGGCCCATGGTCTCCTTTATGTTTTAGCCATGACCTTTGGCAGCACAAGGATTCGGTGTTCACCTATGGCTGAGAAATGAGATTCAGTTAGATTCAGGAAATTCAAGTGTCATGGGAAGAAACTAAATCTAAGCATTTTCATTCCAACCCAAGTGTTCTAGCCACTGAACCACACTGTTCCAATGTGATGGTGTTATTAACTAATAAACGTTCCTAAAAATATCGCTCTGGGTACCAGATGGACCTGTGAGCAAGCCAATTCTATTCAGTTAATAACTGGGGAAATCAAGTCCCAGAGAAGAAAACTGTCATTCCCAACTTCATGAGATCTTTAAAGTTCTTTGTTAATAAGGACATCAATTGATATATTACTGTCCCCTTACTCACAGCACACAATAAGAATTGGGAACCAAAACAGTGCATATCCTCCAAGTTCTGGGCCCTAATCAGCCTACTATGTGGGTGGTGAATAGGTTCTGAGTTGTATGCTGGCTTTGATTGATCAACCATGGTTGCTAGAGTCTATGGTGAGAGGGACTGTGCGGTCACATTTAGGCTTTGTTTCAAAAAATTCTTTTATAGAGATGGAGGCCTGCTGTATAACACGAATATAGGAAGAGAAACTAGGGTCAAACAATCCATGTATGTAGCATCCCTCCCTAAAGAAAAGCTTCAAGAAAGGGCATAGTTACTAGTAGTACAGTAAATGCAACACCTGCAGAAATCCTTCTTCATGCCAAGCACTGGGTTAACACTTTACCCTTGTAGCCTCTACAGAACCACTATCCAACGGGTACTGCTATCACCATGGGCAGAAGAGGGGCAGGGAGGCTCAGAAAGGATGTTATTTACCCAGGGTCCTGCAGCCAATGGGATATAAAATCTAAAATGATGGACAGAACTAGCTGTAGTGGAACAGCAGAAGGTGCGCAACCAGGAGCCCAGGATTTGACTCTTGCTTTGCCACTGGCAAGTTACGTGACCCTGGATAGTTCACGGTCACACCCTAGGCCTCCACTTCTTTACCTACAGAGGCAGAACGCCGCTAAGATAGGTCTCACGTACCCTCTGTCTCTGTGACTCTGAACCTTTATGCCACCACAACACTGGTGAGTGGGGAGATAGTCACCTTCCACCCCCGCCAGACAGAAGGGAGCGCACCCCGAGGAGTCTTCCACCTCCCGTCTCTGAAGAACCTGGCTTCTCGTCCCCATAGCAGCCCAGAGCTCCTTGGCCGGCCCAAGTCAGGGTCACTTAATTAAGATGTGTGAAGGGCCATGGGAGCTACAGATGATAGGAGAGATCCAAGAACAAATGCCTCTAGTCTGCTACCAGTCTTCCCTGCCACTCATGCTACCTGTGCGTTCGCGGAGATTAGATTTTCCCGATAGTCTGAGCGCCGGGGAGGCCAGCTGCAGCCGTCACATTCTGGGCTCCGGGTGAGGCGGGAAGGACATATTAATTTTCAGCCTCCTGTCGCCCAGAGGGTTCCTCTGCTCTGCCTGTCAGCAGCCCGGTTCCCTGCTGCGTCCATCCTGTCAGGTCAGATCGCATCTCGCAATTGCCCTGCTGCGCGTTTTGTTGGTTCTATGCCTGGAAGCTCATCAGCAAATCCCATCCCAGCTGAATTTACACATTTTGCCCTTTCCCAGGAGAGAAAATTAAAGACTTTGGAGATGCTATGACAGACCTGGGTACTTTCCCTCTTAATTTTAGACTCTTTCTGTCTCTCCTCCTCCTTTCTTCCTTCTCACTTACGCACTGTTGCTTGAATGGCGCGCTTTTGTGTAAAGAATCAGATATTTCAAGTTAGCAAGGGATTTAAAGATTATCATGCCAAAACTCCCCATGAAACAAATAGGAAAACTAAGGCTCGAAGAGAAAGAACTTTTCCATAGAGTAAACCATGCCTTTGAAATAAAATAAAAGGAGAACACAAGCCCCATCTAGGTATTTCAGAATTGTAAACCATATCGGGAAGTAAATGATCTAGTTCATCTAACAAGGAACAAGTAAAAATAAAACTCACAGTACCAAATGCTTGCTTGTGCTTCTCCTGTAATTATTTCCAATATTTTTCCCTCAAAACCTGAGGAATTGTCCTGTCCTAAAAATCCTCGCAGATCAGTTAGCTCAAGTGGCAATGGTATTTCGGTATCTTACTGACGGTTGATGCTGATTGATACCAAGGATATAAACCTGATCCTCGTGCACACAGAAAAAGGATATATTGCATGCATAACAATTTTATATTAAATACATATATAATCTATTAAGTACTAAGTTATATAGTTGCATGACTCTAGTAGTAAGTAATTCCCTTTGTAAGAAAATGGTCTCTTGTATATATTTAATGCCTGGCTATCTACAAAGCATTTTCAAAAAGGTAGACTCCAGTATCCCTGAAATACATCTACCCCCCAGGAAAGGGCATTTTTCAGAAGCCCTTTTGAGATGAGAGGATCGATTTGTAATCCTGAACAGTGGATCCTGACCGAGGGCCTACTATATGCCAGGTGCTCAGGTAGACCCTGTGAGGGACCCTCTGAAGAGATGGCATCCGCTACCCTTAAGGAGTTCTGTTAATCTGACACCCATGCACACAAGATGATTCACATTACAATCAAGACGACCTCATGGGTTCCCAGAACCAGAATCCCAAGCTTTACAACAGAGAACCTGCAGTTTTGCGCTCTCTGTATGTAATGCTGGGGCCTGCTAAAGGTTAAAAACTGTTGTTGTTTGTTTGAAGCTGAGCCATTCTCCCCATACATAGGATCGAGTCTATTCTATGAAACTAAGAGAAGGATGAGGCTGGAAAGAACCACTGCATCAAGTGGAACAAACAGTCTAAGCAAAATCCCAAAGGAAAAAAAAGCTTAAGATGAGTAAGAAGAAAATGAAGAAAGCTGTTTGATTAGATTTGGAGGCTTTTGAAAAGAAAACAAGGAGCAGTATTTGGTCCCAAGCTACTAGCTTTATCAGACAACAATTAACATTCTGAGAGCAAGCAATTGCTTACAATTTGGAAAGACTAGAACTTGGCAACCCACGATTCAGAAGCTTTTCAGGGCTGTCTTCTGTTAATGAAACCAGATTCCACTGATAACTCATCTCTTTCCTTCATATGGACACTATCAATGTAACCTTACTGGAGAAGAAGTAGGTTCTGTACAGTTCTTAAAAACCAGACAGGTACCCAGTCGCTTAACTCTCCGCATACTTAGAAGAAATGTAATTACTCAGAAGTAATTAAAAGATTGAGCTCCTCTGCTCATTCTGTATCTGCAAGATATTTGTACTTTGGAACCTACTGGTACTAATTAGAGCCTCTTATTTTGCAATCACTCATAATTTGTTTCTTCCGGAGCTAATGTGGCTCATGAATGTGTGATCGAGCTCTACTCAGCTCTTCGTTAATGTGCATGACAACCCCAACTGAAGCACAGCCACCACTTAATTCTGGATTTGTTCCTGCCCTCTACCAGAGATCTAAAATCGCTGTGTTTGAGAAGATGTGGACATACATGAAGTCGGCAGAGCCATCCGTTTTTGTGCGGACCACAGAGGAGGGCATGATCCGTGTGAGGAAATCCAAAGGCAAATATGCCTACCTCCTAGAGTCCACCATGAATGAATACATTGAGCAGCGGAAACCCTGCGACACCATGAAAGTGGGAGGTAACTTGGATTCCAAAGGCTATGGCATTGCGACACCCAAGGGGTCCGCCCTGAGGTAAGTAGCCAAGATTTGCTTCCTTCCTACTCCTTCTCCTCCCCTCATCTCAGGAAGGAAGCTGCTCTGCCTGCCACATGGCTCCAATGTACAGTGCAAGCTCACAAGTGAGTCCTCCTTCAACATCTGTGGGCCTGGACGATTCCAGCCACCTGAGACCTTCAGCCCTGAGGTTGGAAATTGACCCGGGGGTCTCAGCTTGCTATGACTGTCACTGCCCCTGTGTTCTTCCCCATACCACACCTTACCCTTTGAGTGTGTTACACAGCAGTGAGCCTTGTGCTTCTTGTCCTGTGATCTGTAACACCCCATCTGTTAGCAGATATCCCTGCATCCAACTAGGCTATAAACAGGGTTCTCCGGCAACCTGGATTTTTTGACAAGAGATGGTTTGTAATATTATTTGTCTCAAAAGAAACATAAGCACATTGTCCAAATGAAAAACAAAATCAAGTAGTTTGAGTCTTGGGACTCTGGCTGTGGAAATCCATACAGCTCCTAATAAATAGCACCATAATGATAACAGTACATATTCTTACCTAGACACTCGTGTCTTTAGCAAGATACAGGTAGTTCAGTAAAGTAGCAAAGGACATTTTACTTTCACATAAAGAAGCTCTAATATTCATTCCAAGCAGCTGAGAAAGAATACTACAGACCTGGAGTCAGATGACCTAGATTTAATTATGGAATTCATTACCGACTGACTATCTCACAGAGGGTAAGATTTCATCTCCCAATCCTCAGTTTCCTAACCTGTAAAGAGAGGATAGTCACGCTATGCCTGGTCCAAGGTCTTTATGGATTCAAATGCGATGATCTGTGAAGAAGGTAACTGAAAGTACAGTGCAAAGTCATCTGTGAGAAGTTCTGTCACCTGCAGAAGGACTGAATCATTTGAAGGGAGGGTGGCGTTCCAGTAAGAGCAAGAAGCATCAAGGAAGGCTTCAAAGGATGGATGGGGCTCCTCACCCATCTTGACATGACATTCAGGGCCACTTCTGCCTCTACTTCGTCATTTTAGTGACGCGGAGTCCCAAGACTAAGGCGCCGGTATAGGAGCTGGGGATGCAGTGTGAATAAGATATAGGCTCTGTCTCCACGGACTACATTACTGTGGGGACATTAAATACGTGATTATCATCTAATGTTTATAACAATGCTGATAGATGCTAGACAGTCTACTAAAAGGGCCCTAGAGGACATCTATTTCCAGCAATATGGCAGGACAAAATCCTCACTATAAAACCTAGATATGCTGGATAGGATACAACAGATAGCCTTTTAAATGCACATTAGGAAATCTGTAGGGTCAGAAGAGAAGCAGAAACGAAAACCAGAGTGAAAAACATAAGCTAATTGATCTGGGACTGCCATAACCAGGGAGAAGTTATGAATTAGGTGACACTTTACATGCTCAAGTAGGACAATTAAAAACATAAAAGTAACCAGACATTTTAAAAGAAAATTACATCATTGAAGATCAGCTATATTTGATAATGCTTGAATTAGAATTTACAGAAATAAAATGTATTCACTGATAACAGAATCTTAATGGAAGGGTTAAACAGCAAAATGAAGGTAATTAGCACACTGAGGAAAAAACAGACAGTTCTTCAGAATATCATGCAGAGAGATAAAAAATAGAAAAATATAATGAAGTTGAAACATGAAATAGAAAACAAATCAATTTTCCATGAGTTTCAAGGAGAGAGAGTGGAGTAGAGGCAGTATTCTAAAGGAATTTTCTAGAACTGGCAAAAAACAACAAACAACCTTCAGACTTGGGAATTGAGTCTCCATCAAGATAAACAGGTGAAGGGCCAGGGATTTAGCTCAGCGATTCTGTGGCCTGCCTCGCAAGCACAAGGACCTGAGTTCGATCCCCGGTACTACAAAAAAATACATAAATAAGCAGGTGAAAATCAATAGCTGATCCAAATGAAACTGCAAAACAATAAAAGTGAGATCTCAAATACACTAAGATATAAGCGGTCCAACTCGGTCTATTGTACAGCTCGGGTCTGGCCTATTAGAGGCATCTTCAAGGGTGCTTTCTTTCAAAGCTGAGGATGCTCATTAATGGGCCAACAGGTGAAGTGAGACTATGGGAAAAAAAAGAGAAAACAGCATGCATGAGGCCTGTGTGGCAAGAAATCACAGCACAGTTAATGAATAGCAAAAAGAAACTAAATGCTCCCAGGACACAGGTAACAAGGTAGAGGACAAGTAAAGCTGAGACTGGAGGATAAGATAGAAAAAGATTGTGTGAAGGAATTTTGTCCTTATCAAAGAGCAATGAAAATGCATTGAAGAATTTTAAGTAACTGCCTGAAAGTTAAAAAAAATAAAGATAATGTAGAATATAGGCATACGTGTTATGACCTCATGAGAGGAAATCTAACGGCCTGGTATTTATCAATTATTTTTGCCTGGGAGAACTTTAAATACTTTTTGTGCACGTTTGGGCAAGATTTAAAGGAGATCTAGATAATTGCGTGTGTTGAAGAGGAGATTTTCATCTCAGAAACTTACAGAACATCACCCTCCAAAGGTCTGAAAGTACAGATAAGGTCTCGTAGGTTCAAAACATCAACGACCCTGCGGTATTATAATTTATGGGAGGTTTTATGGGTCAGGGATGTCATTTGGTCTGAATATTTGGTAAAATTAAGAAAACAAGACACTGAGAGGTGAAGGGGTTGGTCCATTTCTGCCACCCCAAGCCACACCCAGGGGCGAGAATGCGGGACAATTCAAAAACTACTGGAAATTTGAATGATATGAGCCTAAGATCAAAGGTTATCTGCACTTAGTAGTAAAAGCCATTAATGAGTGGTAAGGATCACTGAGTCCCACCATACAAGGTGGTGTGTGCGTAATCCTTACGGCATCTCCATATCACCCCCACTCTGCAGATGAGCAAACTCCAGGGCAGATTTAAATTTTGTGACCAGACCAAGACAGCTACTGAGCTGAATCCAGATTTCAACTCCAAACCATCTAATTCCAGAGCTCACAGCTCTAACTACTCTAAAGTTGTGCGGGACTTGTGACTGGCAGCACAGTTAAAGGCAAGAGACGATGTAGGTCAGATTCTCTGCACCAATTCACATGGGCCAAATTAATAACCATAAGCTGTGGAATGAAAAGAATACTTTTGGAACCCAGAATATCCATTACCACTCTGAAGGCAAACTGCAAAAGTGGACACCACTTGAAGGCACCAAGCACCACTGCTGTAACACAGTTTTTCTGGATTTCCCATGCTCAGAGATCCTTTCTGTATTAAATGTTGGGGGAAAATCCAACCCCATAAAAGACAAACCTGTTTGCTTACATTTCTGAATTTGAGCAAGAGAGAGCCAGAGAAAGGGAGAGAGAAATGGATAGGAACATGTCTCAGATCACTGATGGCTGATCTACAAGTCAAGAACCCCAAATGATGGCTCCATATTTCCAGCCCTCTCACCAGGCTCTGTTCTTCCCAGTGGCAAATTTGGCGATGGCCATGGGGCCCGGCCAACTCCTGACCAAAAAGTGAGAAGACTAATAATGTCCATGCTAAGATGATATCGAGTGCCTGGCTTGAGAAAGACCCTCTGAGAGTGCAGCGGTACTGTGAAACCAATCAAAGATTGGTCATATTACACACACACATACACACACACACACACACACACACGCCTTCTGGGCATCTCTCTCACCTCTCCCTCAAATTGTCCTTCAGCAAGATGTGGTCAAATACCAAAAAGTCCTGGCAAAGCAAATGCCACCGACTCATGTGCCTGCTCCAGACATCTGCTTGCAATGAGTTGACCTAGAAAACCATTCTGCATGGCAGAGCTAGAAAGTGAGGAGGAAGAATAAAGAGCAGCCTATGTTTCCTCTGGACCCATTGAAAATGGGCTGACAGCTGCCTAATGATGATCTGGCAAAGGAAATCAATTTACTCTTTACATTATTTTGAATCATATAAAATACTTTTTAAAAGACTGTGGAGCCATTCGCAAAGCTAAAACCTATTTAGAGGTGTTTTGCTACAGAAATGTTCTCAGTGCACTGCAGGGACCATTACAAACTTTTCTTTTACTCTACAAAAGCCTGGGATTGTGCAGCCCTTACAGGTAGATGTTCTCCAGGTTTAATACCTGTGCTTGCATCAAAATGGACCTTTCTGGTAGTGCTGGCCTACGGCTTGCGCTCTGCAGTGCTAGAACATTCCACACCCGCAGGACATCCCTTCCTCCCATCCTCTCCTGAGCAAGCTCCAGTTCTTACAAAGCAGATCACCTGGCTCTGCCTCAGAAGACTGGCATCGAAGATCCAAATGTTCCTTCTAAACTTGTCGGATCTACTTGGCAGAAGCCAGGCCGCAGTCCCCACAGAACACTAAAAGGCTGTGTTAGTGACAGAGTGGTTTTTTCTGTCTTATGCACTGGGAACAAATATTCCAATGGAGCAAGGTGGTTGGAAGCTTGATTTTTCCATTTGGACAGGTGGTGTTTCTTTGAAACAGATGCTGTTTGTTGGCTGTTACTGCATGTTTGGGGTTGGGTGAGGGGCTGAGTTATGTTTCAGAAGCCCTTAGGTTGTGGATAAAGACCTACACTGCCAATGCCGGTCACTAGGGAAAGGCAATTGGTAAAGCCACTAATTATGATCAATTGGCCCTTTCGTTGCCAACTAAATGTATCTGCAGGTATAAACAAGTCTTTTTTCTTTATGATGATGAATATTGCTTTCAGTTAGAGATGATGTGTTCAAATTTCCTAAGTAGGCATGTGTGGTAGAATTCACAGTAGATTGGGTTCGCTTAAAATCTCAGCTAATAATTCTCCTTCATAAACCGTCTACCAGAAGTTTAATGGATTTGCTAAGAGTAATACCCTAATCAGGACATTGGTCAAAGTCTGGTCTTTAACTCTGACTGTGGTTACATGGCGTCTCCCTGGTCTCCACAATCACATCATGTTTGTCTTTTGTCACGTGTCTTTCCA